TCCAAAATTATTAAATTCATTTTTTAAATAAAATATTGAAAATCAGTTGCAAAAACGATGCAAGGAGGAAGAAGAGATAATTGGATAACGATTCAAATCATTAATTTTTTGATTTTTGGAATTTCTGTTCAAGCTGGGAAACCAAATATTACGGTAGGTCATTGTTATAATTTCGCAAAAAAAAAAATTAAAAATTACAAATTTTTGAATTTTCGGTTTTTTCAATTTTCAACTCAAAATTTTCAGCTCTGTCGTGATGTCCCATCGACATGGTCCAACATCTCAACACCAGAAGTAGTTGTGCTCCGTGAGCACAATCTAGACGACATTCGAATGACGTCAGCATTAGACGACGTGGAATGTTGGATTCAGAAGAAGTTCCACGTGGCAAATCAAGAAGTGGTGCGAGTGGAAACGAAAGGAGATAATGAGACAATTTGCTACGCGATTAGTACGGTAGATGTGAAGAGAGGACAAATGATTGTGGTGATTAGTGAAGGACAAAGTGCTCAGAATTGTACACCGAATATTTATGGACCACTTCCCAATGTTTTGAATGTAAGGAGGGATTTTAAAAATATGTTTGAAATATCTGGAATTCCAGAAAAATTAGAAAATCTGAAAATTCCAAAAATTTCCAAAAATTCTGGAATTCTGGAATAGAGAAATTCTGAAAATCGAATATTCTGAAATTCGGAAATTCTGAAATTCTGAAATCCTGAAGTTCTGAAATTCTGAAATTCTTAAATTCGGAAATTCGGAAATTCTAAAATTCCGAAATTCTGAAATTCGGAAATTCTGAAATTCTGAAATTCTGAAACTCTGAAATTCTGAAATTCTGATTTCAGATCAAAATGTTCATCGACGGATCAAAAAACTCCTCAGTTCGTCGCATGGAAATTTCGTTTCAAAAACCCGGTGGCCATTTGGGTGTCCAATTTGAATTTCATCGGAGTACAGTGGTTTCGAAAATCCAGAAAACGATTCGATTCTTTTTTGAATTGAATTCTGAAAATTCGGAATATTCTGAATTGATTTCTGGAAACTTTTGGACCCCAAAAATTCGGCTGCCACCTGCCACGTGGCAATTTCAGAAAATTATGGAAAAAATGGACCAGACGATTCCGTGGTGGGTGATACTGTCGGTGATGCCAATGGTCTTCTTTGGAATTTCGGTTTCGTGCTATTTGGTTATTCAACCGGTTTGTTTTCTTCTTAATTTTTGAAACTCTGAAATTCTGAGATTCTGAAATTCTGAGATTCTGAGATTCTGAGATTCTGAGATTCTGAAATACTGAAATTCTGAAATCCTGACATTCTGAGATTCTGACATTTCGAAGTTATCGGAATTTTTCGATAATTTGAAAATTATAGAATTTTCGGAATGTTCGGGATTTCTGTATTTTTCTAAAATTTCTGGAACTTTTGGAATTTTTCAGATTCCTCGGAATCTCTGAAACTTTCGTAATTTAAAGCTCTGGAATTTTAGAATTTTCCGATTTTTTCTCGAGACTTTCACATTCTTCGAAAATTTTGAATATAGAAATTTTTTTTTCGAAATATCTTTTTCGAAAATTTTGGTTATTCTGATATGTCGGGATATCAATTTTTCAAAAAATCCAAAAAATTGAAAATTCCAAAAATTCAAGAATTCAAGAATTAAAAATCAAAATATATCTGAAATCTAAAATTCTGAAATTGCAAACACACAATTTCGAAATTTGATCAAATTCAGAATCCCGGAATAACTAAAATTTCAGAAAAACTTTAGAAAAATCAGAATGTTGGAGAATGTTGAGGATATCAAAATTCTCGTAATTTCATAATTTTTTAATTTTCCAAAAAATCTGAAATTCCTTTCAGCGTGGCGGTCTAACATACACCGACGAAGAAGTCGATTTTCAAATTCAAGAAGTCGATTCGGCTTCTCGTGTCAACGTCATCCAACCACCAGCACCTCTTCAGAATCTCTCATTTAAAACTGCTCAAGCTCTGCCACGAACGTCTTCAAAAACGACGACGTCGTCTTCTGAATCAGATGACGTGGAACCACCGATGAGAACGGCCAAGGAGGAGACAGAAAACCACCCGAAAACTGCAATTTCCGGAGAGATTCCCGAAAAAATGAATACAGCAATTTCGGAAAAATCAACGAAAACTATGCGTCTATCGGCTACTGTAACTAATACTACTGCTGGAAATTCGGCTGAAACGATTTCTTTGAAAACTGGAAGAGATTAGAATAAATGTTTTTTTTTCTCTTGAATTTGGATTTTTTGGATTTCTCAAGAAATTCGAAGTTTTGGAACTTTTGAAAATTTTCGGAATTTGGAATTTAGGATCTTTGTTTATTGTCAGATTTTTTTTGAGTAGGAATTTTCGATTTTCGGATTCTGAAACTTTGTGCTTCTGAAATTGTGAAGTTCTGAAATTCTGAAATTCAGAGATTCTGAGATTCGGAAATTCTGAAATTCTGAGATTTTGAGATTCCAAGATTTTAAGATTTTAAGATTCTGAGATTCTGAGATTCTGAGATTTTGAGATTCCAAGATTCTAAGATTTTAAGATTCTGAGATTCTGAGATTCGAAAATTCTGGGATTCTGAGACTCTGAGAATCTGAGATTCTAAGATTTTAAGATTCTGAGATTCTGAGATTCTGAGATTCCGAGATTCTGAGATTCTAAAATTTTGAGATTCTAAGATTCTAAGATTTTGAGATTCTGAGATTCTGAGATTCTGAGATTCGGAAATTCTGAAATTCTGAGATTTTGAGATTCCAAGATTCTAAGATTTTAAGATTCTGAGATTCTGAGATTCTGAGATTTTGAGATTCCAAGATTCTAAGATTTTAAGATTCTGAGATTCTGAGATTCGAAAATTCTGAGATTCTGAGACTCTGAGAATCTGAGATTCTAAGATTTTAAGATTCTGAGATTCTGAGATTCTGAGATTCCGAGATTCTGAGATTCTAAAATTTTGAGATTCTAAGATTCTAAGATTTTGAGATTCTGAGATTCTGAGAACTGAGATTCTGAGATTCTGAGATTCCGAGATTCTGAGATTCTGAGATTCTGAAATTTTGAGAATTTTTGAATTTTAGAATTTCCAGATTTCAGATTCAGGATTTAGAATTTTTGACATTCTGAAATTCTGAATTTCAGAATTTCGGAATTATTGAAAACTATAAAATCCTGAGAAATCTGGGTTTCAGACCTTAAAAACTTGAAAGCTCTGAAATTTCGAAATTTCAGAATTTCAGAATTTCCCTGAAATAGTTCCCAATTCTCTCCGATCAAAAATCACTGATTATATTTTTTTTTTCGGCGAATCTCATTGTTATTACTTCCTTATCACTTCCTTCCTTGTCTTATCAACTGCCTCTGATCTAATTTTTTCCGTATAAAAAGGATCAGAATATCTGTTGAAAAACAAATTCTTGATTCAAAATGGTTTTTCTCCTATTGCTCATCTTTATTTCTACCGTACTGTCTTCTCAAGAACTGTATGCACCACCAATTCTTGTTGGTGGATCCTATGTGCTTTCTACAAATTACGAAGGAGCCAAAAATTCTTCGACTGGAATTAAAAGATTATTGAATTCTGAAACTGAGGACACATGGCAAGTTTTTCATTTTTGTACAAAAGATGGGCAGAACAAGGACAAGTGTGGCGCATGGGTGGATAAGGTGATTTCGAAATTTTGAAAAATTGAAATTCTGAAATTCTAAGATTCTGAGATTCTGAGATTCTGAGATTCTGAGATTCTGAAATTCTGAGATTCTGAAATTCTGAAACTCAAAAAAATCTGAAATTCAGAAATGTTGAGATTCTGTAACTTCGAGACTTTGAAATTATGAAAATCTGAGATCCTGAGATTCTGAGATTTTGATATTCTGAGATTCTGAGATTCTGAGGTTCTGGGATTCTGAGATTTTGAAATCCTGGATTTCTGAAATTCTGAAATTCTGAAATTCTGAGATACTGAGATTTTGAGATTCTGAAATTCTGAGATATTGAGATTTTGAGATTCTGAGATTCTGAGATTCTGAGATTCTGAGATTCTGAGATTCTGAGATTCTGAGATTCTGAGATTCTGAGATTCTGAAATTCTGAGATTCTGAAATTCTGAGATTCTAAGACCCTGAAATTTGGAAATTCTGAGGTTCTGAGATTCTGACACTCTTGAAATTTGCAAGAATTCTGCATTTCTGAAATTGTGATATTTAGACAATTCCGAAAAATT